AATCCTATTGGTTGAAACCGCAATGTCAAAAATCCTTGTTGGTCGAAATTCCGTCCAAAAATAATCTTATTGGGCCAAATTACAGGCTAAAGAAATCTAATTGGCTAATTTGCTTCTCCCTCTGAAATCCCATTGGTTGAAACCACAATGTCAAAAATCTCTATTGGTAGAAATCCCGACCAAAAATAACCTTACTTCACCGAACTATAGGCCAAAGATATCTGATTGGCTGATTTGTCCCCTCTCCTGAAATCCCATTGGTTGAAACTGCAATGTCAAAAAATCCTATTGGTCGAAATCCTGACCAAAAATAACCTTATTGGGCTTTTGTTGTAAGATGAGTGATATGAGAGGTCAAAAAAACATTTTTTCGTTCTGTGCGAACGAACGAACGAACGAACGAAGTTACGAACAGACAAACCTAACTCGGTGTATGACCCTCCTTTCAGTAGAGGGAATTACTTGAAAATATTAGCTTACTATCATAATGCAAAAAGAAACATAAAAACAGCAGATGATGGAGATTTATTGCAAACACAAATAATAAAAATAATTTTATTATATCTAATAGAATGATTTTGTTGTCGTTATTGTGGTTATGTTAAATTGTTGTAAACTATTCTTAATCTAAAAGAAATTTTTGTTTATATAAATATCATTTGAAAGTATTACTTACTGTAATAATCCAAAAAGAAAAATATAAAAACAAGAGACGATGAAGATATTTCAAATGTGCAATTAATTAAAACAAGTTTATTATATCCAACAGAATAATTTTATTTTCCTCATTGTTGTTATATGAAATTGTTGTAAACTATCATTGATAAAGAAGAAAAGTTTTGTATGAAATTATTGTTTGTAATTATTAACTTACTGTTATAATGGAAAAACGAATAGATATAAAAAACAATACAAGATGAAAATTTATTAAGCATGAAATTAATTAAAGTAAGTGTATTATATGATATTGAATCATTTTGTCGTCATTCATGTTGATTTAAGAGATTGTCGCAAACTATTATTCAAATAGAAGAAAAATTTTTTATGAAATTATTGTTTTAAATTTAACTTACTGTTATAATGCAAACAACAAGTAGATACAAGAAACAATAAGATTTGTCTTAGTAACTGCTACCGTATTAAATATCAGTATGTTGGACTAATCGTACAATTTTTGTTGTCATAAAATAATTTTGTATTATAATTTTCCAATAATGTAAGTATTATTCAATGTATATATTAGGATAAAGTTTGTTGATTTTGTTTGCGTCTGTAATTTATGAGATTGATATTGACTTGGGACAATAAAGGTTCAATTTTTAGTAGTAACGTTGGTTATGATAATTGATAAGTAAAAAAATTTTTGTAAGCATGTATGAAATCATAAAATAATAAGTTTACAACTTATAAAACAATATTGAAGATAAAATATAGAAATAAAAATTTAAATAAAAATAATAAAAAATTATAAGGTACAATTCAAAGGCAGTTAGTAAAGAAAACACTTATGTAGAAGACAATGAAAATAAAATTCTCATAACATAAAAATATAGCAAAGGATTTTTGAATAATGGAAAATAAAAAAAATGAAATAAATGAATTTAGGTTAGTTGTAAATCATTCAAGGAGATAATAGAAATAGTTCCATCAAAACGTTTGACACTTTCATAATGTTGATTATATGGATTGTATGCAATATGAAGTTGTCGATCAATATAATCAGATCCAGGTATTAGCAATGGACGTTTACTATATTCATGAATGATTATATTTTGGTTCAAAATAGTTGCTGTAGCCGTAATTATCAAGTGATCTGCATATGTATTATTTTTTTTCATGCGAAAAATATAATCATCAATAGTATTGTCTTCACCGCTGACAAAAAACTCAAATGCCGCACTATTTCGTCTAATATACGTAATTGCATCAGATCTTAATCTACGATGATAAGTTTGAGTAGCAAAAAGTTGATCAGATATAGCCCGAAAGAAACAATTACCATCACCAATAATCCTTATTGTACGAAGATTTAAAACTCTTAATTGTTCGGTTAATGAATGAAATCTGAAATCACTGATCGTTAATTTGTTGAGCGGTACTGTTTCTTTTATATTTGAAAGAAATTTTAACTCTCGCGTGCTTGGAGATTTATTCACATCAGTTATCTTTGTTGAATCAGGATTTTTTTGATCATGATTCGCATTATCATTATTCTTATCCATAACTGGTACAAGAGTTTTATTTTTAAATTTTTTATTATTTTTTTTTTCCTATTCAAGTACTTTTACGTTTGTTTGAATTATTAGAAATTGTAATGATTGATAATAACGATTCAGAACTTGAATTTACTTCCATTCTTTCATCACTGTTATCTTTAGTTTCAATATCATAATGTACATTATCTTTGATACTATTAATTGATAAAGCCAATGCTTCATGAAAACTATAAAAGGTTTCTATGACTTGTTGGCATTCTTTTTCACATGGAACAAAATTTACATATGCAGAATCAAGACTTGTCAAGCTATTAGTAGTAGCTAAATGCCTAAATGTATTTACAAAACCTAGATTTTTCAATGATCTCTCAATATTTTTTGATTTAGTTTGAAAACTATCTTCATTCATGTCACCTAGAATTAATACCCATGTAAAAAAAATAGAAAAAAATCAGATTTTAATCGATTTTTCTCTGATTAATAATCGATTAAAATGGCACGATTTTATCAGATTTTAATCCGATTTTTAATCATAAAAATCGATTTCGTCCGATTTTCCCCCACGTAATCGATTTTTACGATTAAAAATCGGATTAAAATCTGATTAAAATCGTGCCGTTGTAATCGATTATTAATCAGAAAAAAATCGATTAAAATGGATTATAAGTAAAAAATTTATCAAAATCAATTAAACCCTAGTTGCTCTCAGTTCCTTACATGGGTACCTTCCCATGTAAAAAAAATATGTAAAAAAATCAATTTTAATAATCAAAAAATCGATT